GCACGTATAAAAACAGATGATAATTAACCAGGAAGCACATGAGATCAGGAAGGAGGTTAGAGGAATTCATTTGCCTATTTGCTGCGTTCCTCTAGGGAAGGACAAAAAGTGTGCCATTAAAGTAGTCTTAGTGAGATCCTTGCTTTTTTTCTTTTTACCTTAGATCTAAGATTAGAAAATCAGGATGCGATCTGGAAAAGGAGCTAAGTAAGAACACAGGGAATGCTGGTTTAAATATCTTGATCACTGTTTTCTTATGAGTCTCTAGCTTCTGCACCTCTTAATTGTTAATGTATCTCTAGATGCCAAAGCACAAACAGGGAGAGTGTCTCAAGGACAAGGTGTGTGTTTATTTAAGAGACAGGCTAACAGGCCACTGCTTGAGTGGAATGAGGGTCTATAAGTGCCACTGGAATAAAAAAGGAACCTGATGTGGCTTAACCCAAGCCTCCTCACAAAACTCTATACCTAATAGGTTACACATACATTGGACTTACTGCCTTCAAAGTAGACAAACCTGTGCTTGGGGAGTAGGGGTTGTATTTGAACAGACTTTGCCCATGTTGAGTCCCTGTTAACAAATCTTTATAGAATATAAAGCAGAAAGGGCATCCACATGTCTCTGTACAGCACTGGTGGTATCCTAGTAAATGTATTATTGTAGCTGTACAATAAATATCTGATGAACAATTCTGCCAAATCAGTCTGGCATCTTACACTAATTATGTGCAATATATTTGTTTTGTTATTTGTAGTAGATATTTTGCATAATCCTCTTTATAATGAGGATAAATATCTGTCACTTAACATGTCCTTTTTTTAAAGATGATTTTAGCCATGAAGAAAGCTCAATTGCATTGCTGTAGCTAATTTACTTCTATTCCTTTCTTTCTATTAGGCTATGTGACAAGTAAACTTTGTATAAATATCTTTGGGTAGTCAGTTGACGGGACTGTAAATTGTCCATTTTGGTGTCTCCTGTGTAGTAATTGGTACAGTTCAGTTTTTAAAAATCTCTTTTTTAGCTTAAAAGGATCTATTAATGTAAATATGACTTTCTATAGCTTTCTGTTGTTTGGGAAAATGTTAAAGATCTTTTTAAAATATTTAACTCTTCTAAAGGCTAATTTATAAAGATAATAAAGGAAAAAAATCTTCCTTTTCATCCAAAATTTTTCCTCATCTGTGAGTCAATTATTCAGTTAAACCATATGGAATTGCAATTTTTGTAGATTAAATATCAGGGATTTTATAAGGTAACCTAATGTAATATTAAATACTCTTAAAGTTGACTTTCAAAAAAGTTTACCTTCTTAACAGCTTGATAATACTTTGATTCTTCCACTAATACTATTTTTATTACTTGGAAATAAATATGGTCCTTGTTTTTAAGAAGCTCTGTTCATCTATGTTTTGGAAGCTAGAAATATATCATTCTAAAGATATAATTTCAGTAATAGTAAATCTCTCTTTTCCCATGAATATTTCTTTTTTTTGCTATGTATTTATTTTAAGAATATTAGGAATGACTTCTTATGCATTCAGGGCTCAAATCTAGTTCTTGCTATGCATGAAAAAATCTGATGACATGATTGGTCCCAACATGTACATTTATATGAATTATTAATAGCTAGATTTTATGGCTTTCACATTACTAACTTCTTATTGCTATGGCAACACAGCAGTACTTAGTGGTACATTATTCTTACACTTAACACATCTCATGCCTTAAATATAGTTAATATTACTATGAAGTTTTTGTCAATGTTGTTTCCAATTAAATTTTATATGTATATTTTAAAGTTTCTTTCTCTGCTTATAGACCTTTCATGTTTCATTTTTTTTCCTTAGAATTTGAGGGGTTTTTTGCTCTCAACATAGAAAATATTTAGCATTTTGGGTGATCATTCCAGAGGCTCCAAGCACAAAGACAGAGCTAACACTTCTCAGTGCTCTCCCCTTCTTTCTGCATTTGTCTCAAATAGAAAATAACAGAAAAGTAACTCTAATAAACATCAATACATTTTACTAAAAACATAAACTGTCAGATTTTTAATTTTAACATAGAAAAGTGGGAGTATAATACAAATTATAAAGTACCCTGAGGCATTTGTAACACAGCTATAAAAAACCATAATCACGGGGAATGAATTTCATCTCAAATAGTTTTACTATTATAATTAATCATTTTAAATATAAATGCATTTGAGAGAATTTCAGATTCCAAAGACAAACAATTATGATAATCGTTTAAATCATAATAATAACTAGTTCAATCATACTGTGATACCTATGGGTTTATTCTAATATCTTTTCCACAACATATAGAGGTGATTCTGGGTTTTACTTAGAGAAAGTAAATTAAAACTAATTAATGTTTTTTTTTATCACTACTAATGATGAGCAATCTGACTATTTCCTTTGTCGCTTGTACTAGATATGTTGCATGGTCCCCTTTCTGATGAGCCGGAACAAGTAAGCTAGTAACATCCTGACATGGTAATTGATCTACCTGAAATATTTAGAAGATAATCTGAATGGGTATATATATATAGAAAGGAAAGTTTAGTAAAGGCTACTTTAAGTGCTTATCAATTATGTATTACTTTGGTAGGACTAGAGAAACTTGAGCTAGCTCAAAATGTTAAATTCCAGACCTTTGAGCTGCAAAGAGAATCACATGCAAACCAATATAAACATTGGATACAGGGTCTTTCATTTCCTTTTGCTTTCAAATTGATTCAACACCATCCCAAATTTTCTTGAAACACCCTTTACAGAGAATTCAATGGTGACTTTAACTTCATAATAATATTTTTAAGTCATCATATTAATAAAATCTAAGTGTCCTTAGGTGCTCTGTACCTCATTAAACATATATAGAATGTGTTATTTTTACCAGTTCATATGATCATAAAACAATAATTGAGAGAAAATTGAACTTTAATAATATAATATTTGATGAGTCCTTGATGAATAATTTTATGAGTTTTTTGGTATGGTTTCATCAACATTCTCATTTTCAAAGTGAGCAATTTTCATACTCTGTTACAACATTTTGAGAAACAACAGCTCAAGTAACAAATTATGTGGGCACATTTGGAGGTCTTCTCCTAGCCTCATAAGATGTTTGTGATTTGACATTTTATTGCAATCTCATTCTGACTAAATTTTAAAACGTAGCCGAAAATCATGTTTTCTTTTTTTATTCTGTTTTGGTTTGGCTCTTTTATTTCAGGAGTAAATATTTTAGACATTATTATTAGACTTTTATACATTCAAAAAGAAATTAAACATTGTAAAACCATAATTTAATGATTTTGCTTTGCCTTATAATTAAGAGCCACTATGAGATAGATGTCCATATCTGTTCATCAGAGAAAACTGGCTGATTTTAAAAGGCCTAATGAAATCATAAGTAATATTAAAGTAGTCTTTGAAAGTAGTTACAAAATTTTGCTTCTCCAAATTTCTATTGCAAAGAAAGCATTTGGCATCCCAACACATTTTGGTAACTTTTGGGCGCCATAAATTGCTCCAGTGAACTAGATAGATGGTGCTCCAGTTACTGAAAGAAATGCTTTTAAGTGAGCTTGAGGTTCTTTCTTGAGTAGTTAACAGACTGTAATTTCTAAAATCTACATAGCTAGGTACTCAATTTTAAGGTTTCTTCCTTCATTCTTGTTGGTTTGATTGTATTTATTTGTTAAACAGTAACACTTTAACATGTTTCTAAAAGTAAAACGTATATGGAAAGGATACTTAGATCATTCCCTCACCTGTCCATTCTGCCTTGTTCCTCCCACCTCCTGTAGGTAACCAATTTCATATCCTTTCTGTGTTTCCTTTTGTAAATATCAGCAGATACGTGTGTATTTTATTTTACTTTCTTTTTACATAGAAGGTGTACATATACTATATACTATAGATGTATATACTGGTATACTATATATCACCAGCCTCAATCAGAGATTTTTGTCCCCCAGGGGACATTTGGCAGTATTAGGAAACAGATTTTTGTTCTACTGGAGGAGGTGCTACTGACATCTAGTGGGTAGAGACCAGGTATACTGTTAAACATCCTGCAATACACAGGCTAGCCCTCAAGAACAAAGGATTATCTGATTCAATATTGCCAACAGTGCCGCTGTTAAGAAACCCTGCTATATATGTCTACTTTTGCATTTCAGCTTAACAGTATATCGTGGAAATCACTCTATATCAATGTATAGAGATCTTCATCATCCTTTTTTGCAGCTGCATAGTGGATATACTGTGGGTTATTCAATCAACCTCCTTTATACAGACATTTAAGTTGTTCTTCAATATTTTGCTATTACAAATGATGCTGTAATGCATATTATATGCATCCTTTCTTTTTGATATTTTTAGAAACAGATCTGATATAAGAGTAAATTCTCAGAAGTGGATCAAAGAGCAAATGATTATATCAGTTTGCCAAATCTCCTCCATAGAGGTTGTATCATTTTGCATTTTTCCCATAGTATGAAAGTACCTATTTCTCCATACGCCTGCCGGTGGGGTGAATTATCAAGGTGTTGAATTTTTGCCAAGCATTAAGTAGGAAATTCAGTGTAGTTTTAATTTGCAATCTTATTATCAACAACATTTTATTTTGTTTTGTTTGTGCTCATTGCTGGGTCAAAGCCCAAGTCTTATAATATCAACCCAAATAATTTTAGATGAAATACAGAAGTAATCTTATCAAATACAATGAAACAAAGTATATATAGTATTCCTCTACTGAAAATGTTAAATGATTTCTTATAGAAGCTTTTCTTGTGTCTATGTCTCAAAAAGTTTTTATGTAAACATAATGGGGTATTATTTTGCAGTGCTTGAGGGAAAAGTATTCATCACTAAGTAACAAATATAATACTGGAAATGTAGTTTTTAAAATCTGCTGTGATGTCTTCAGACCACCAGGATGTCACACTGAGTAAGCTACAGTGATGTCTTGTGTGCTTGGTGTTTTATAGGCCATATATGTCTCTTGGAAGTCTTCGGGATCAAGTCATTTACCCTGATTCGGTGGATGATATGCATGATAAGGGTTACACAGATGAAGATCTGGAATGTATTCTAAACAATGTCCACCTCTACCACATAGTTCAACGAGAAGGAGGTAAAGTCTATCATACTTTTTTAATGCATTTAACTTCATTTAAAAAAATAAACTTGAGTATATAGTCTGTGGTTTAATTTGAATATACGCTATAATTGGAAATAAGCACATAAGTGTAAAGGTGGAGTTTTATCGCTTTCCCATTATTTATATCCCTTTTTCTGCTTGTGTTACGTTCAATGCAGCACAATAGGCTTTTATCAAGTCTCCATGTCACTGAAGCTAGCATTGAAAATCAGATTTTTTTCTTTTATATTTAAATGTACAAGTATCCCTGAGGCCATTGTCAGTCTAGGTGTATGTAAAGTCTATGATGGGAATATCCACCTGACAAGCTGTCAGCCTATATTAAACTTAATAATTTGGGAAGTAATTATCACAGAACATCTTTTTGTCTTCAGATCTACAATCTTACCAATATCTTTTTTTCCCCCTCTCAAGCAGCATGTAGAGAATTGGATAAGGTATAGAAACTTCCTCTAATAATCACACTTTCAAATAGTTTGCTAACTCATATGGTTTGATAGCCTAGGAAAACTACTAAAATAACAAGCCAGGATTCCAAGTTTAATTTTATGTGATTTTATGTTTTATTTCTGAGCCCATTTATATTATTAGAAAAAGTAGGATTATACAGCAATTGAGAAAATCAGTTTGGAACTCAGAGAGTTCTGGAATCAAATCTTAGCACTGCTATCTGTATCTTCAACTGTAAAATATGTAAAATACTGTATCTGTATCTTCAACTGTAAAAATTGGGATAAATATGTATCTTAAAAGGTTTTTGTGAAGATTAAATAAGACTGTATATAGAGCATTTAGCACAGTGGCACATGAATGCATGAGAATTAGTAGCTAATGGTAATATTAATAGTTGCCTATTAGGCATAATATTAATACTATGATATTTTATCTTTTCATGATAATACTTTATATTTTACATAGCAATTTCACATATATTGTTTCATTTGATCATTATAGTAAGCAAATGAAGCAGATAAGAATGATATTATTATATTTATTTTATGGTGTTTGCAATTCCTATTATATAGGAAAAGCAAGTTGTCTTTTTGTTTCATGTGGTCAACTCTATCCCAGTTTCAAAACACTGTGATAGAGTAAATATTGCATGTTTATCTTGGACAAGTTATTTTGGATAAGTTTGAAGTCTAATGACCCAAATAGAAATTTATAATAAATGTGGAATATTATATTATCCTAGAAGTCATCAAGAAGATCTAGAACTATTTTTAAGAATATTCCAGCCTTAATAATGTAATAGCCATTGTTATGGTTTATTGAGTGCTTACTATCTGGAATATACTACATTAAGAAATTTATATATATCAATCTTATTTAATATTCATAATTGTCTAGTGATGTAGCTTTACCTATCCTCATTTTGCAGATTAAATTCAGAAGTTTAGTAGTTAGTTAGAATTCAAACTAATAGAATTCAAACTAACTTCAACTAAGTAGTAGTTAGAATTCAAACACAGATCTGACTTGAAAGTCAGTGTTCTATACTAGGGTATGTCGCTGTGCTATGTTACCTCCCAGATATTTAGACACTAATAAGAACTGTAATATCCTTACACATAGAAAAAATTCCAGGAAAACCTGTTTTACTTGCTTAATCCTTAAAGATGAAACATTTAAGCAAAGCAGGAAAACACTTAAATTTGCAGGTATATCACTTACTTTGGAAGAAATCTACTGAAGTTCTACTTAGACTAATCTTTTGCTTAGTAAAAGATGGAATTAAGAACTACGTTCCATTCCATCAACCAGGTTACAAAATAGGAAGGAGTAGAAGGGTTAACAAATGGCCATGAACTAAAGAAGTTGTGCATCTCTAGGAAGCAGGAAAATCATTCTCTTCTTAGCTGACTTAGTCTCACTAAATCAGCATCAGAGACCACGTTATGACTCAGTTTTGATTCATCTGTTCTGTGACTATGCACTATTGTCTACAGAACCCTTTGGGACATAATTTATTAGAATATGTAGAAGTTAAAGTTTCCTTTGACCCAAATACTTTTCTCTTGTGCCTTGTTCTCAGTAGGCAGGAAAAAAAATGTTTTTAAGCCCAGAATGTTTTCCTACTGTGTAGCAATCTGAATCTATTTCTCAAATCATCACTTATAGTTCATAAATGCTATGAAAGTCAGTCATAGAGAAAGTTTTATTTTAACAGATTTCTCTAGAATCAAGAACTATAAATCAGATGGCATTTTTAGATTTTTTTTCCTAATATAAAACCATAAGGATGTGTTTTTAAATAGACAATTTCTGGAAGTTCACCCAAGAAAATGAACAGTAGTCTCCTCTAGAGAGTAGAATTGAAGGTATCAATAGGAAATAGGGAAGGCCCCATTTTCACTCCAGATGCTTTTGTATGGATAATTTTTAATATATTATTTTTATTATATTTCTTTGCTTATTTAATTTTTGGAATAGGTAACACTTTCACATAATGCAAAAATTAAAAAGCATTAAAAATGTATTGAAAACATTTCTTCCTATTCCTGTTTCCTCCTATCCAGTTATCACCTACCCCTTAATAGGTAACCACTGTTTTTAGTTTCTTTTTTATACTATTAGACATTTTTAATGCAATGTAGCTTGTAATGCTAATTTTTAAAGGAAAAACTCAATAAGAAACATAAAGATAGGCTGGGCGAGGTGGCTCACGCCTGTAATCCTAGCTCTCTGGGAGGCCGAGGCGGGCGGATTGCTCGAGGTCGGGAGTTCAAAACCAGCCTGAGCAAGAGCGAGACCCCGTCTCTACTATAAATAGAAAGAAACTAATTGGCCAACTAATATATATAGAAAAAATTAGCCGGGCATGGTGGC